TTAAAAAAAAAAGAGGATTTTGAGGAAGTTTATAATAGTTTCGACTACTGCGGAACTAAAAAAAATAGAGGATTTTGAAAAAGTCTATAATAGCTTCATTTACCACTGAACTTTTAAATACAATGAACAAATTTTTAAAGAATTTTAAGAAAAGGATGATATTATAGTTGAAGTCTTCGACTAACCAAAACTGAGATAAATTTTCAGATTTTAGGGTAATCCAGTTTAGTGTTTTGAAAACAATGCGAGACTTAAACTAAAATTTCATAATTAAACAGCTTTTGAAATAGCCTGATCAGATATAACTAAATTTAAAACCTATGAGGAGCGCTTATGTAAATATAAGTACCAGAACTTAAATAAATAAAGTCATTTTTAGAAATTCTATAAACAATCTAAGCAGAAAAAAGTTCAAAGAATGTTTATATATTACTGTAATATTAAAAAAAAACTTGTCAGAGTTCTTAAGCTGTAAAGGCCAGATATTTAATGAGAGAGCTACCCCTAAAATACAAAAAAAAATATTACAAGGAGTATCTTTACTGATTGAAATTATTGTGAAAATATTGTTAAAAAAAGATTTATTTTTATACTTTTTTCATTTTTTTAAGTAAATCATATAAAAAAAATTATTCTGAAAAAATGTTCAATTCTCAAACGATCTAAAAGTTTTGTGTGTTTTCTGAATAGAGTTTGAAAATTAAAAAAGAATACAAAACTGTACCACAAAATGTTCAATTCTCAAACGATCTAAAAGTTTTGTGTGTTTTCTGAATAGTGTTTGAAATTGTTCAAAAACACAAAACTGTACCACTGTTCGGATCCTTGCCGAGCTCTCTCTTGCAACACCTCGATGCAATTATTCACTTGCTTCGGTTCGTTTCGGTTCAGTTCCTGCAATCTTCTTGCCGCCGCACAACATGCAAACAATCCCTACCTACAATAAAAAGAAACTGAAAAATAAAAACAAAAACAAAAACTTTATGAATGCGCACATGAAAAATGGAACATCGTTAAGAGCAATTCATAATAAAATACGCGGCAGCGATGCAGACAGAGTGCAATAAGCCCGGCCAGCCATTCAGCCAAACAGACAAACAGACAAACAGCCATACGGCCATTCAGGCAGTCGTCGAGTTAGTTTTGGCTGCAAGCAGCACAAAAATTATGACCGTAAGCAGGATATTGGGTTAAAGTTTTGTTGTTTCCCAATAAACTTTGATGCTGGTGCCGAGCCGCATCTGATTTCTATTTGCCACGTTTAATTTGGGTCTTGGGCGCATCATAATGAAGTTGTTCTTTGGCTGGCACTGGAACTGGGCCCCATTTCCGAATGCTTACCGTGGTGGTGCCCATTAATTTTCAGCAGCAATCTGCGCACGGTATTTCAATCAACACATTTACTCTTTGATATATTGGCAAAAGTATCAAACTATAGCATCAATAATTTCATTTTCATATGAGCACACATCGCCACAGTTCGCATTGGCAGCCATCATAAATACACGAATGCTATAAGTATAGTATATGTATATGGCTATTGGTCAGAGCAGATTGACCAGGCGGCGTTGCTAGCTAAATTTATAGAGTCTGTTGTTTATGTTGTCAGGTGAAATAAATAATAAATTCGTTATACGAGCGGACGACGGCCTCCGGTCGCTATCAGCCGACAACTAGACGACGGCAGCGGACAAGGGGCGTATGATGAACGCACGCCCACATGGACAGAGTCTGCCTGATGCCTCGCTTGTGGTCGTGGCTTCGGCTTCGGCTTGGGCCTGGGCTTGGGCTTCGGTTTGTGGTCTGGGTTTGGTTTTGGGTTTGGGTTTTGTGGCTAGAAGCATGCCGCAGCAGCTGCCTCTTCCTCGTCCTCCGTTTCTGGCGGCAAACAAATTTGAATGCAATGAGAGATGAAATCATTAAGTTTGGGGCAATTGGCAAGTCTTGTGCAATGGCAGAGTTAGTGGGACCCCTGCCGCTGCTGCTGTGTGGACCGCTAGACCGTGTAATAATTCATTTATGACGACTTGCACAATGCGCTCGGTTTCTAGAGAGCACTCGTACAACTCTAAATCCATTACGTAAGTAGTAGGGTATGAGATGGACACAGGGGTGCGCATGCCGCTAAAGTAGAAGCTCGAAAGCATTGTATATTATAAAGTTATGTATAATAGGAATGAGAAACTCGGACTGAACATTCAGACAAAATTTTTCCAAGCCTCCACGATATAATAGCTACATCTTCTTTCTTTTAAAAAAAGTATTCAACGATATATTTTCATACAGAAAACTTTAATTACTTACCAAAAATTAATATTAAGCTTTCGAATTTTAGTCATGTTTAAATGAAGGTACATTTTTCAATTATAATGCTGTTTTTAATCAAACAACCAAGTACTGATTTTCGTGTTTCATATTTTAATTATTAATCCAGAATTTTGCAGGTTAGCTGAACACAAGCTTATACCTTACCTTACCTTAAGGCAGTTTTCTTTTTAAACAAATTTTAAAAAATTCTAAATTCTTTGAAAAGAAGTCCTTTTTTAAAATCTAAGCTTTTAACAAATAAATTTTTTTGTTTATACCAAAAACTTCAATTACGTACATAATATATGAACACAAATCTTTTGGATTTTATTTATTAATAAGAAATTTCATTTTTCATCTTGGAATGATGATAATAATGAGTAATAGTATTTACTATATTCTTTGAAAAGAAGTTTTTTCTAAAATCTTGGGTAAATTTTGAATAATATCAAAGCGCTTTTCGTATTATTTTATAAAGTATAGAAAACTCTTTCACAAGCGATAAATCTAAGGACACATCTTGGAATGATAATAATGAAGTATTTACTATATTCTTTGAAAAGAATTTTTCTAAAATCTTGGGTGAATTTTAAATGTTTTTTAAGCGCTTTTCGTATTATTTTCAAAACTATAGAAATGTCTCCTGCACAAGCGATAAATCTAAGGTTGCAGTATGAAGAAGCTTTTAGAAAAAATTGCCTAATGACTGCACATAAAAATATAAATCTGTCTTTGTATGGCTGAGGGGGGCAAGTACAGTTAATGCAGCACCAATAAATATTAGCAGCCACACAAATTTCACCCGAAGCCCGCCAAAAAGGCCGACAACAAAAGCGCATATAAATCAACGATCAAGACAATTGCGGTGTAATAATTTTAACTTCTTTAAGTCAGCAGCCGCGTCCTACACAGAGAGCTGAAGTCGAAGTTGGAGTCGTCGGAGTCGGAGTCGGAGTTGGTGAGACAACCGCCACCAATGCGCCTGCCCATAAAAATAACAGCTTATCGGGATCGAAAATCGTGTCGTAGCACGCCTACCAACTCAAAAAGGCATTAAAATATGAAACAACAATTGCATGTGGACAATGTACGGATGGACGGAGCCCAAGACTCCAAGACCAAGACGACCAAGACGGTACCACGATGCTGCAAACTCACCTCAGGTGAAATCAACAGCCATCGTTGGTGCAGCTGTGGCCGGCAGCAGCGGCACGTTTTAGTTTTTTTTTTGTTTTTTTTTTTTTTGGCTTAAGCAAGCAGCTTTGTGAAATTCCTAACTACTCCACCCACCCACCACATCGACAACAACATCGAAACAGTGGAGAGGCTGAACGCGAAAGAGTATAAAAAATAAATATGGGTGTATACCGCCGACAAAAATCGCCATTGTTCGCGCGATTCGCTGTAGACAGTTGTGTTACAACTCACTTGGTTTTAACAGTTGGCCGGTTGCCGTGTTGGCCGTGTTGCCGTTTCGCCGATATCTCAATTTCGAGCTCATAAAAGGCAATAGGCAATAAGGTAATTTTGTGGCAGCGCGCTGCCGCACTTTTCACTAAACAGAAACTTATGGCGAGCCACAATTAATAACACTAGTTAACCGACATTTTATTGTAGACACCAAAAAGGTGGGGGAATTTAATTCAAAAACACTTTTTTTTGGCTATAGAACTCCTGCATATGCTGTTATATATTCGTGCATACTTGTATATTTGATTGAATTCTTATTTAGTGCTGTTCAGCTTATTTCAAGTTCTCTACGAAAGTTTAAAAGCGATATGGACATACCCGAGCGACTTTCAACTTGTAATCTAGACTCTTACTCTCCGTATTAGAAGCGCAAGTTCATTGCAAATCGTATTTAGTTTTATTATTTTATAAAGGACAGATCAGTGCAAGAATCACGCTATCTATTCTACTAACTTTGTTGTTTCTAAAGATATCGTAACCAGAGTTTGATCAAAATCGTTTTATTATATTGTAGAGCTGCCAAAGGTCGTATTGGTGCACCAAAGTTTATTGTAATTACAGGACTGTGGCGATAGGAGAGGCACGTAAAGGATGTATGTACAAGAATGTGTTTGTTGTGCTTATTAAGATATCTTAACCAGTATTGGATTAACGAGTAAAATGTTACAGTCGCGCCCCATCTGATCTAACAGAGATTACAACTATGGCTATAATTTTCTTAAAATTGTGTTTTTTAGGAAGAATTGTCTTAGGCGGGAAAGTGAGGGTGAACTGAAATAATTTATCGGCGCCGATGTTGTTGAATCCAGATGCAATTTTGACGCTTTTATCCAAAAACTCATTAAAGACGAAGAGACTAATGGGTGGATAGAGTGTTGAGCGATAAGATCGAAAAAGCGACATGTCTATAACGATCTACCGACATTTGAATTAAGTTTTTAAGCTGATTAAAATTATATGTTCATAGTTTTCTTTTAAATACTCTCATCACAAAACTTAACCGATTTCACAATAAGTACTATCTGAAGTTTTATCGACTTCGGCTTCATATATAATATAGCTATCATAGCTTCTGAACTTTGTTACTATTGTATGAAGGAACTTTCCTTTGCACAACGACACTAAAGTGTTAATCAATAAATTCTCTCCCAGATTCCCAGTTTTGTTTGCTGGCCTTACATGAAACTTTTTAATGTCAGGTTTCATAGTCAACTTGTTGGCGTCAATCAAACACATTCTCATTCAAAATTTACACACACACACCGATTTTAGGCATTAGTCTCTTAACCCAAACACAGTCATCGTCGCAAAATAGAACCAATCAATGTTGGCACACGTTCACAGCAGTGTCTGACACTCACAACATCCAATCTTTTTTGGACTGGCACCAAAATTATACGCATGCAGACAGTATGGACATCAAGCTGAACACTCCTCAGCAATTGGCCTATTTGGACGAGCTGAAGCAGCGACTCCGAGAACTGCGGGCACGTCAGGAGTCCTTCATACAGCAGACCGCAGAGATGATGCGGGGAATCGAAGCGAATGCTTCTGGCGTCAATGTGAGGGCCAGATCGACGCAGCCCATTGATGTACGCGAACTGGAGCGCATGGGCAACATTAAGTTGTTGATACAACGTTTCGAGGATCTACGGAAAACATCCCGGCAGTTCAATGAGTTGCCCACGCCTGAAGAACTCATTGGAGTCGATGTTCAGAAGCTGTTGAAGGGGTATGAGCAGCTCATTGATGAGAACAAAATGCTGCAGTGCTCGCTGTTGCTCCTGAAAATGTCGGGTGAGAGTTGCAGTCATGTTGGGGAAGCCCAAACGGAGGATGAGGAAGAGGCAACGAGGCAAGAAGAAATGCTAAAGGAGCAAATGTTGATGATGGGCCTGCCCCCCATTCAAGAGGAAGTAAGCCCAAAGCCTACACAAACCACCATCCGTAGTCCCGACGAAACGGAAGTCACCCAATGCGTCTCCATAAACGATATTCCACAAGTGGAACGAATGAGTTCACTAGAGGATGTCTCTCAACTGAGCCTACAGATGTGGCTACCACTAGATCAGAATCAAACGAACGTCGCATCAGCTGCAGAACTGAATCATTTTGAAGAGATATCCTTGAATCAGTACGAAGACCAGTCCTTGTACCAGTTAAATATCTTTGAGGAGCCGCAGCAAGCGGAGGCAACAGAGCTTCACTCCAATAGCAGCAGTAAATCCAATTCCAGCTGCGGCACACTAGAGAGTTCAGAGGGTGCTGGCATACCGATCGTAAAAAATGAGGATAGCGAGAAGGATTTAGTAGCATGTAAGACGCTGAGTTCCACATCTGGTCAGATTAAAGCTGCGACCAGCAACAAATACGATGATGAGCAGGTCGATTGGAGCTGCAGCAAACCCGACTATGGTATGGCCTTTGCATAGCAACGCCCTCAGAATTGAAGCTCTGTCCAATTTTTAGGCAGCACCTGCCGCTGGAGCACTGCACTCCTGCAGTTGATGCTGCGTCTCATCCCCTTCCAAAGCTGTTTGCGGCGTTGAAAGTCAATTCGAACGACAACGCCAAGTCCAAAATATATATTCAAAATGTTTGAAATGTTCCAAAACCCCAAAGCAACACACTCACAACCACACACACCTATCTACCTAATGCATCGCATCTCATATCACACTCAGAAATAGTCAAATAAAATGGAGCACCCATACACAGTGTACTACCACAGACATAAATCAATACCCCCACACGTCAACATGTCAATATTTTGCCTAATTAATGTGGGGCGGGCACAGCACGATCATCGTCTCTGCCGTCCTCATCTCCTCGGTTTTCGTGTCGGCGCTCAAGACACACGCGCGAGTATCAATTTAAGTGTCAAGTGCAATGAGAACTCAACGTGGGTCCATGGTGTGGTGGCCGCCATTCCCCGCCAGAGCTGTCGTAAGACCACCACAGACAGACGCTAATGTTGCCGTCGCCTTCCACTCTGTCGTCGTCGTAGTCGTCGTCGCAGGCATCGTCTTATTCGTGGCATGGGACGTGAACGGATGGGAGCAACTGCTGCGCTGACAGCGCGTTTTTAGCCGCCCGTGGAATACCGAAAATAAATCTTGGCATGTCGAGTGAAAAAACAACGACCAGAAGACAAAATACTTTGGCCCCACACGCACAGCGCGAAGTGAACATTTAAATTAAGTGGCTTGTTTGGGATTGTCTTTCGTTATCTGCGGCTGCAGCGGCTGCAGCGCCAGTTGTGTCAGCTAATGAGCTTCGCTTCGCAGGGTTACATATTTTTTTATTTGAGATTTTGATTGGTTTGTCTCTTTTGCAATCGCTGCCTTTACATACTATACATAAGAATGTATATACATAGGTACTACATTTTACACTCGGAGCAAAAAAAGAACGCACAAATAGAATAAACTCATTGTGCCAGATTTGGTTGATGTGTCTTCCATTGATGTTCATATTTTTATGTGAGAAAATTCGTTGTCTTGCAATTATAATTTAATATTGTTATTAAGAGTGAAACTATATGACTCTTCAAATAAAATAGACAGTTAAATGTTTCGAGACCGATAGCAATACTTGAATTTGGAATTTGGTAAATTTTTAGAATGCAATCAAAAACTTTAGAATATGTTGACGATAGAACTATTAATACCGAACATGCTTGACTTTACTAAAGGCTTCAATTATTAATATTGTTATTAAGAGTGATATAGTTTCTTCAAATGAAACAAAATTTTAAATGTAGAATGCAATCAAAAACTTTAGAATATGCTTCAAGTATGACAGTTGGAACTACAATTCTTCCATAATGATAACGGTTTTTGAGAAATCAATGATATTATAAAGGGGTATAATGCAACATTTAATAAACATATAGCTTCTAATAAGTAAAATGTTGTGTTATTCCGATTTTGGTATACCCTGTACTAAATTAATATCATTTCTTTTTCATTTTTATTGTGCGCCAAGTTATGGAGCTTTAGATTATATAAGAAACTCCATAACCAAATTTTATAGCCAACAAAATGTATTCAAGTTAAATTTTGCCACCGATCGGTCAGTTCGCTATCCCCTATTGTTATGGCTCGAAATTTTTCAATGCTTATACAGAAGGGCGTATATATCTATATACATATATATCTTTATCGGTTCGTCTGAACCGTTCTATCTGCCACGCCTTGTTCTATCTTTCGCAGATATTTGGCACTTCATCTTTTAAGTGTACCCTTCACTCTTTTGGGGCTCAAGGTAATACCTTATTTATGAATTGCATTTCCTACCGATATCTAGAAAATGTTTCTTAAATTAATTATGTTTTTGAAAGTGTGTATTTTTGCAAGTTCAATTTAGGCAACCCCGGCAAGAAAGGATTATCGCTCAGGTCAATACAAAATATTTAATTTAGGATGACTACAAGTTGAATATTCTAGAGTTTCATTCTATTTATAATTCAAAAATCTCTTCTCTAATTTTATTTAAATTTAATAATTCTGCAGAAATACGATAATTAATTCGTTATTGCAACTTGTACATAAAGTTCGGTGGGAAAGTTGTTGAAAATTGATAAAAAAAAATATACGACAACTGCTTAGAGAACAACCGCTAAACACCCTTGAGTAGGGTATAAAACATCTAAAATTCTCCTATCAAATAAAAAGCAAAGCGGAAGGTTATGAGCACCTTAGTTTCACCAGAATTGTTATCAAAATCTTGCGAAAACTTGGTATAAAAGCTGGCAACTGTCAGAGCCATAGAACAGTGACGAAGTTCGCACTGCCATGAGAGCTCCATTTATATTTATTGAATTATTGCGGCTCAGCTATAACAGAACGGGAAAGCAGAGGTAATAAATCACGGGCTATAAATACAAGCACTTCGGTATTGTTATCATTTTTCATTAAAAATATAAGCCTTTTACAGCTCACTCTTCATAATGAAGATGATAGTTCAACAGCTACTAGCTGATATATATGACTTATATATTCTAGGATTTTCTTTGAAATACTCATAAATTATGGATTTTTTAGACTAAAATAACAGTTGTGGGAGTTAAATGAAAAAGCCTTAAGTTTAATCGACAGTGACAGTTTCGATGATAATTTTCATGACGTTATCATCGCGGATATATTGACGAATTTATTGGTAACCAATGCTGCAGGCTTACTTAAGAATTTCCCCTCATTCTGTCCTACTTTGGATGGTTTGGTTGGTTTGGTTCTATGTAATGCTGATCTTGCGGGGCCTGGCTGGTTGGTAATGGGCAAAGTAAACTGCATAAATTGAGCTTCGGAAGTTTTTCTAGTTGGTTTATTATGGGTTTATAAGTTGCATGGCATCCCAGCCCCATGATTTATTGGATTTAAGCCACCTCCATACATCAAAATTTCTTTAAGCAATAATTTCTCGTTTAACTATTTAATTGTAATAAAAAACGTACCGACTCATAAGTTAACTTCCACCTCTGTCGGTCCTCTAATAACTCGATAATAAAACTGGTTACCATCTAAAAACCTATGATATTTCGCCACTCATCAAGTTAGAAAGCCAAAACAAATGTTGTATTATTGTAATATTGAAATTCACTTGGCGGTATATCAGATTTAATATCAATTCAAAATATAATATTTAATATACTTAGTATACTCGTATGCAATAAATATTAAACTAGTATAGCCTTTCACCCTCTGGGTACAGGCTATAAAAATATTACAAAATTTATTCACATTTATACAACTTCTTTCGAAGCCCATATAACCATTATATTATTTTTCGACACTATGATATCGGTTGTATGAAAGAAGAAGGAAACAAGGTACTACAAAATCAATTTCATGTTGAGAAGTGTAGTTCCATTAGTAATTAAAATAATTTATGAAAAATAATGAACAGGCTCATATGCCTGATTGATTGATAGACCCGGGCAATCTGTATAGATATCAGTATCATTCAGTACATCCTGTTTTATCCGATGCATTGCTCTTAAGAGCATATTAATCACTCATGATGTTGCCGGTGCTATATCTACATGCGATATCTAGATACCTCGTGTAATAACGACAATTATAATTAAAAGTACACACATACTTATATTCATATGTGAATGTGTGCAGGTATGCGGCTATAAGATTAATGCGAAAGTAACACAGCAAGCGCAACAAGAAACAAGCAACAACCACACCTTGTTGCACATGTTGAGAAGTTGCCGTCGCAATAAAAGGCATGTTGCCAATGATTTGTGGCATCGTCGGCGGCAGGTACTCGCAGATAGTGTGCAGCAATGCAAAAGAGCTTATCTGCCGACATGAGCGCTGCGGCGATGCTAATCAGCGACATGCTGCCGCATGCACGTTGCCAACATGTGTTGCTGCTGCCGCTGCCTCCGCCGCTGCCTTCGCCGCTGTCTCTGCCTCTGCGAACATCGACAACTGCAACAACTTGCTGTCACATCGTTAGTCGAGCGTTTGCCAACTTCACTTGGCGCTCAATCGCTTTGACTTTGAACCGCAAATTTTATAATGTGCCAGCCAGTTAGCCAAGTCAAGCAAAATGCAAACGAAGCAGCAGCAGGTGGAATGACGGCTCAGCATGCGAACATCATTTACATGCTGTTGACCTTTCCAATCCATGGAATAGCAGATGCATTTTTTGATAAGCAGCATCTGAACCGTTGCTTTTTTGGTCAAATCAATAAATTTGGCATTGATTGTTCAAACTGGTCGCAGCTGGCAATTGCGAATGCAAAACAACAACGAAAAACAAATTGAATTCAAGATTAACCTCTCGATCATTATCTGAAATCACTTAAAAATGATTGTCTAACCAAGCTCACAAGTTTATGTAAGTCAATTATTTTGCAAATTTGAAATTAACAATCCATTTTAAAAGACCACATACATAAGTAAAAGTTAATAGAGGTATAACAGCATCATTAGTGTTTGATTAGAAGAAGACAACATAAATAAAGATATTTAAAGAAAATTGCAAGAATACAAACTTATTTCAATACAAAATATGATTCTAAAATCAAAAAAATTCATTTTTAGTTTTCGGTGTCTTAAGTTTTCATTTAATTTTCCTTAGCACCTACATATTTCGGCTTTAGTTTTGTGTACATCTAAATTATTCAACAAAAAAGTTGGGTTATTCATTTATTTATGTTAAAACTAAAAGCCAACATGGAGTTTATAGTCATGCTGCCAGCAGCTTAAGATATATTAGTTTGTGAATTGAACTCTTTATTATTTAAATTATATTTAGGTTAAATTTCGAAAACCTTTTAGACACGATTGACAAAATTCAAGTCCAATCGAAGAAGGTACTTAGGGCTATTGGAAAAAGCGTTTGCATATGTGTATTCCATCTGGAGAGGATTACTTTGAAGATAATTAAATAGATTTCATTAAATTAATTGAGATTTTGTTCGAGTCATATATGAACACAGTTGTCATCATTATCTGTAGGGTATGTCCAATCCAGTTTGTGTTAATATTGATCTTCATCTAACTTGTTTAGCTTTATGGAACTACTTATTTAGCTACGGCTATTTGCAGTTATTCTCTCAACTATAGTCAGATTGATTTTTAAAAGCATCATTTACAAAACCTTTTTATTATTAGATTGTTGTAAAATTTACAATTTCAATTTTACTTTAAAACCCACTGTCCTTAACTGTTTAATAGTGCCTTATCATTAATTCATTGTTTG